GTTAGACTGAATGTCATTGAATTGGTTTTTCTTCAAAAAACATCCTTAAATGACATTTTTCGTGACTTTTAACAAAATATATGTTATTTGAATGTATGATATACTATACGTATAATTGAATATTTTTTAGGGGGTTTTGAAAAATACAATAAATATAGTGAATATAAAGTTATAAAGTAGATCACTGTATGAAACCTGAGGTCCGTTTGTTAATGAGATGATGAATAAAAGTAATTGAAACTTACGTTTCATTTGTGAGAAATTCAATTGTTCGATAGCCATGAGGACGGGCTGACAGTCTAGTGTTAGATCAAACTCTGGTGATACCCAGGGAGAGGTGTTCATGTCCTTATGCCATGTCATCTCCACATTGGAGACACGATTTATTAATGACGATCCAATCTAATGAAAAAACAAATAATCCATCAAATGGTAGATTTCATTAAATTTATTGCACAACAAATCATTATTTACCTGAAGATAACTCATGTTATCGTTATCTTTGAGGGCTTCGATACAGAACTGGATGAGTCCTGTTGTCTGTTGTAATTTCGCAGTGCATGCCATCACTTGTTCCCTCAATATTCGCAATTTATAGTCTTTCTCTTTTCGGGCAAAAGTCAATAATTGCTGTTTTCGTGTTTTTATGGTTGCAATCAAATTATCGCATTGAGAAGATATCTCGGTCTCGAAGTTTAAACTATTCTCCTGTTAAACATAATTGCATTCGTATTATTGATATTTAAATTTAAAATAATTCGCAATATTTTTCTAACAATAAAAAAGTAATACAAAATTCTTGAAAAGTTATTTGCAAAATGCGAAGAAAATTGTTGAATTTTCGTAAAAGTCTATACAAATTAAATCAATTTATTATTATTAATATTATTATTCAGAAAACATTTCAAGAATATTCTCTTTCGTTTGCACTGAGAGAGGCTTTCGTCAAATGGAGTGTTTCCTATCACTGAATAAAGGATGTGATCAGCGATGCAATGAACACACAATCGCTAGTCTTGAGGCAAAAATGGCTATACTATGAGAGCAGAACTTTATTCCCTTTGGAAATATGCAGTTCTTCTTATCCTGTCTTTGCCTATATATGTATACAAATCACATCACATTTCTATGCATTCTTCTACTTGTGTTTATACACCAGTATTTTATATTACATATCTTCTACTTTAATGCCTGACTCTATCTTCACTTTCACATAAAATGCAAATTTTATATAATATATTGTACTGTATTTTGTATATGTTTTTGTTCAACGATATTGTGACGGTAAATTGATTTCCAAAATGTTAAATAAAATAAAATAATTGTGTATTGATTGCAAATACAAATGAATTCTGGAAATAGATTTTACTTACATTTGCTTTTTCTGTTATCCCTTTTAATCGTTGTATGAATTCTGTGGCGTTTTTCGCTTTTTCCGACAAAGTTTGCAAATTTTGTGAGAGTTCCGTCTAATAAAACACAGAAAATAATAAATATTAAACATATTTCAATACTAAATCAATAATTTTCTAAATATTTAAAAATTATAATAATTAAAATTGGCTATAATTTAATTATTGGTTGAAACAATTGATTACAAAAATATTTACAAATGAAATTTATATTCAAATGGGAGTCAAATGAGGATCGATATGATGTGGATGTGCTTATGTAGGGATGGCGTGTCTGCATATAATTCATTACTTCAATTGATTAATAGTATATACAGTGAAAAATCATAAGAGGAAGCAATGGAAACAATTTAATTCCTCACTTAGAGATACATAAAAGTAAAGCAAACATTTGCCAAAACTTTGTTTCATATGACTTATAGAATACTGTATAATAATTGCATGAAATATACAATTCAACGAATTAAATGAAAAATTAAAAGAATACATAATTTCTTATGTGAAGTCACTGTAGTGTTAAACTTTCCTAACATTTTAATTCAATTTAACAAATCTTTTCACAATTCGTATAATTTTTCAAAAACTCGGTTTCAAAATTATCAGTGAAAATATACATGAAAATGTAGACTAATGTATAAATAGTAACACTCTTATCAATAAGGAATGAATGCATTTTACAGTATTATTAATATTTTAAGTTCTCTACAAATGTATCAAACATTTAGGATATGCCCTTAGAAATGGTCAAAACATTGAATGACTACTATTTAATTCGCAAGAAATTTAATACAAGAAAAACAAAACCAAAAAAGAAATGGTTGGGAATAATGGACCCGACATTTCAGATTTCATTCATTTATTGTTGCCTTTGAAGCACTCATTCAATTGATTATTGTGTGCAGAATATTGAACCTACAATTGAAACATAACTACATTTAGTCATTGCGGGATCTCATCAATTCTGTTGCAATCTTGGCTTTCGAGAGAGAGTTTATTGTTGCCTTTGAAGCACTCATTCAATTGATTATTGTGTGCA